TAGAGGCAAGAGAGGAGATTCTGACGCAACACATCAGCCACATACATCAAGTATTTGTTTTACTCTCTCTTAATTGGGCCTGTGACAACTGTCACCTCTTATTAAGTTGCAGGTTTTAAGTCTTGCCCTTGGACTTTGCATAGGGTCTAAGACCCTGTGTCGGGCCAACTGAGGACCTTTAAGTGGTTCATCTCCTACTGTTTCTCAGGACATCTGTAATGGATGGGCAGTCACGGAGGAGTTCATAAGCAAAGGGCCTGTGGCCTCTGGAGCTCGGGAGGGCGATTCATTGGCTCACTAGGGTGGGGTCAGGGGATGCTCACGGAGGGCTGAGGTGACGGCTTCCAAAGTAACCATCCTTATGGAACCTGATCCGGGAAGTGCTTTGCTAAGCATTCAAAGCCTAACTGGTCAAAATATGATTTTGATAACAAAAACAACAAAGAAGTTGATCTTCAGCCATGCCCAGTGTTAAGACAGCTGGCGCTATGTATAAGCAGTAAACGTGGAAGCATTTAGGTTGCTCAACGGCCAATGCTTTACTTCAAGTTGATTTTAAATATTTCCTACTTTTTCAACCGGTAACTCAGCGTTGCTTTAAGTGGCTGCTTAAAAAGTTATCTGGAAGTGAGTGTGGGGAGGCAGACTTGAAGAGCCACCCTAACTTTTTAAGGCAAAGAAGTAATTCCAAAATACTACTATTATTACTACTACTACTACTACTACTACTACTACTAGTATGACTACTAATAATAATGATGGCATGCCTTTGAGATATTGTGGGTTGGGTTATGAATTTTTTGGTTTCCCAATGCATATTAAAGTAATCGTACACCATACTATAGTCTATTAAGTGTGCAATAGTGTTATGTTTGAAAAAGCAGAGTACATACCTTAATTTAAAATATTGCTAGGAGGGGCACCTGGATGGCTTAGTCGGTTAAACGTCCAACTTTCGCTTAGGTCATGATCTCGCGGTTCGTGGGTTCGAGCCCTGCATCAGGCTCTGTGCTGACTGCCAGCTGAGAGCCTGGAGCCTGTTTCGGTCTGTTACTCCCTCTCTCTCTGAGCCTCCCCTGCTCACTCTGTCTCTCTCTCTCCTAGAAATAAATAAAACATTAAAAAAAAAAATATATTGCTAGGGGTGCCTGAGTGGCTCAGTCGGTTGAGCATCCAACTTTTGATTTTGGCTCGGGTTATGATCCCAAGGTTGTGGGACTGAGCCCCACATCAGGCTCTGTGCTGAGTGTGGAGTTCACTTAAGATTCTCTCTCCCTCTCTCTCTCTCTCTCTCTCTCTCTTCCCCCCCCCCCCCCCCCCCCCTTTCTCCCTCTCTCCCTCTCTCCCCAACTCACGCTCTCTCTCTCAAAAAAAACAAAACAAAAAAAAATAAACAAAACCCAAAACCAAAACAAAACCCCTTATTGCTAAATCGGGGCACCTGGCTGGCTCTGTTGGTAGAACATGTGACTTTTGATCTCAGGGTTGTGAGCTCGAGCCCCATGTTGGGTTAGAGATCACTTAAAAAAAAATTAAAAATATTGCTAAAAATACTGCCCATCATCTGAGCTTTCAGCGAATCATCCTTCTGCTGGGGGAGGGTCTTGCCTCGGGTTGGTGGCTGCTGACTGATCAGGGCGCTGGCTGCTGAAGGCAGGGGTGGCTGTAGCTTCTAAAAATAAGACAACAGTGAGGTTTGCCGCATTATTGACTCTTTTCTTCCACAAAGTTTCTCTGTAAGATGTGATACTGTTTGATAGCATTTGACCCACAGTGGGACTCCTTTCGCTATTGGACTGAATCCGCCCAGAACCTGCTGCTGCTTTACCAACTGAGTTTATGTCCTATTCTGCGTCCTTTGTAGCTATCTCAACTGTCTTCATCAGCAGCAGACCCCATCTCAGGAAACCACTTCCTCTGCTCACCCATAGGAAGCAACTCCTCATCCATCCATGAACGTTGATCACAGGGTGGCAGCGATTCAGCCCTGTCTTCAGGCTCCACTTGTAATTCCAGTTCTCCTATTGTTTCCAGCCCATCTGCAGGGACTTCCTCCACTCGAGGCCTGAACGCTCAATTTGTAAAAAAACAAAACGAAGTATCTGCGAAGCACAATAAAGCGAGGTGTGCCTGTGATAGTAATGATGGATGTTTACTCTGTATTCACCACCCAGGCCCCCCGCAGAGCGGCAGCCTCCACCTGTGTGTTGGGAGTGGTCCCCCTTCAGCCAGTCTCCACAATTGTCCCCTCCCAGGCCTTCACCCGCTGTTGCCCTGACTCCTGCCCGTTGACACGGACTTCTCTCTACCATCTGCCGGCTGCAAAGTGGGCTGTGTTATAGAAATCGTTTGGAACCACAAATGACACCTAAGCACATGGGGGGGAAAAATAGCTAATAACTTCATTAGGAATCAAGGAAATGCCGATGAAAACCAATCAGGAGTTATTTTCACGTTATATGATAAGGAAACAAATTGACTGGAAAAACCAGAGATAGAAAAAGACCAGCAAGACTGGCCCCTCTGCACTGTAGGCGGGAGAGGAATTGGAACCGAAGCTCTAAAGGCAGATCTGACAATACAGATAACATAATGCCCCCACCCCACTAATTCCTTTTCTAAGAAGTTTTTCTAAATAACCAGAGGCATGCTCAGTGTTTGTGAATGACAGTGTTTCTCAAAGCGTTTGGAATGTAATCTACATAAACGCCCACCAGTGGTTAAATGAGACATGTGCATGTGACACAATACTATTCATCCATTAAAATTATGCCCTTGAGGAATTTTTGATTACGTTGGAAGAAGTAAAATGGAGTGGCTAACTGGATGGGCTTTATTTAGTCACACTTTATGGGTTCGATCCTTCCCTATGACTGAACAAAGCTGTACAACTTGGGATTGCTGTCAAAAACCTCTCTGCGCCTTAGTTTCCTTATCTGTGAAAGGGAGAGAGAACAGTGGTTATAAAATTTAAAGGAAATAATTCATTGCACAGTGTCTGACACAGCATAAGCACCCAAGTGCGTGTTACTCTTAAGTTACTAACTTCTGTACCTCAATTTCCTCCTCTGTCAATGGGAATGACATCAGTTCCGATCTCCCAAGGGGTGCGAATGTACAGAAAGCACTAAGTCTGGGACCAAGCATAGAGTAACTGCCACCTAAGTGTCAGCTGCTGTTTGTGCTATGAGTGCAGGGAATTGTTCACATAAAACCAGATCCCTAGTAGAGAACCAAGGCTATTTGAAAATCCACATCTTTGCCCACACAAGACTGGAAGATATACATCAGAATAACTATCCCTGGGTGGAAAGATTACATGCAATTTTTGTTTTTTGTACTTTCCTCTATTTTTCCGAATTTTCAACAACAAATACATGTTTTATAATTTACAAAAACAACAGCAGTTTTGGAGTTGGAACACTGTTTAGCCCACGGTTAATCAAAGTAGTTGTGTGTGCCAAGCTCCCTTCCAGTTGATGGTTTTCCTGTGTTACGGTCCTGGTCTCTGGGCACTTGTACACATAGCTGGCTGTCGCTATACAGTGTAACAGTGCTGTTCCGCTTTTTTTCTCCAGCTGCATTAGAGCAGTGATTCCAAACTCTGGATGATGCTAGAATGGCTTGAGGAGACTTTGAAATACATTGGTGGCGTGCTGCTGGCTGGACTGATTAGATCCAGATATTTGGGGGTGGGCCTCAGGCGTCAGCATTCCTTAAAGGCTCTCAAGGAAATTTTAATGTGCAGCCAGGTGATGGGGGGGGGGGGTGACCTAGAAGTAGTATGGCATTTGCTACCATCCTGTCCCACCTGGCAGGGGGTTCTGCCACATAGACAGAGCCCCCTCTTCCTCTGGTCAAAGTTGGCCCAAGCTGTATTCCCATATCACTTAAGTTAAGACTCCCTTGGAGTGCTCATTACAAATGTGGGCATGTGGACCCTAAACCCACACCTACTGACTCTGAACTTTTACGGGAGTGACTTGGTAGCATGTGTATTTACTGAGCCCACTGGGTGCTTCTTGCCATAGGGACATGTGGGAACCCAGCTAAAGTCCTGGTTCTGTCTCAGCCACGCACTGGGAATATTAGAGCACCTAGAAACACACTGAGGCTGGGTGTCCCTCCTGCCTCCACCATTGTGACACGGTGAGGCTGGGATGCTGTCTGGACCTTGGGACTTGGGAAGTCATGGTTCCCAACAACTAGCAGTGATGGTTCTCACAATGGGGTGCTGGGATGCCGTCGCTTGGGGACATGTTAGAAATGCACGTTGTGGGGCACCTGAGTGGCTCAGTCAGTTAAGCATATGCCTCTTGATTTGGCTCAGGTCATGATCTCACAGTTCATGGGATCGAGCCCCATGTTGGGCTCTGCACTGACAGCATGGTCTCTCTCCTCCACTCTCTCTGTGCCCCGAACCCCAAAACAAAAAACAAAACAAAAACAAAACCTTAAAAATAATGCACATTGTAGAGTCCCACCCAAAGCTGCTGAATCAGAAACTGGGGTAGGACAGAGCAGTCTGTGCCTTAGCAACCCTCTCGTGATTCCTGCTCACACTGATGAACCAGTGCTCTAGGGTGGGGCTGTGAAAAGCAGGTTCCCACACCGACTCCCGAGAGAGCTCAGTGGTCTGGTCTCAGCGGGGCGTAGACTTCCAGTGGCCCATGACCACAGTTGAGAGATGCTACTCTCGAGTTTACCCTTGCTCCCTTGGGCATTTCAAAGTTGTAAGGGCCTTGACATCTCTCAAGTACCACTGGTGGCCTGAAGCTTGTGGGAAGCCCTGCTGCTAGGACTCCTCGGCCCTCAGTGACAAAACACATGGCTGCCTTCCAACCATAATTAGCTGGGACATGTTTTCTTTAAGGTCAGTAAGTACTCTGGTTAGGAATATGTTTTTCAGAAGTCCTGACCCAAGTTTGACTCAGAAGCAGAGACATCCGTGTTTCTTCCATGTGTTGCTGGTATAACTTCCACGCCTCTCTGTTCCGTAGGTTTTATCACCAGCCAGTGCTGAAGTGGACCTCTCAGCCCCAGAGCGCCCGCGACCACGCCTACTGGAGAAGAAGAGGACAGGAGGTCGGTGGCTTGCTGGGGCCAAGGGCCCGAGAAGACCCGGAGGTCAGAGGAATGGCCCAAGCCCACAGTCTACCCGTTCACATGAGGGAGGGCCCATGGGAAGTTGGCGGAAGGACAGAGAACGTGATGAAGAAGGCAGTTTGGGAAGAAGAGCTGAGCATGGCAGGACCTGCCAAGTGGCAGCATAGAGGCCCGGAGAGCTGGAACCAGCCCAGGAAATTAGGGAGGCAGATGTCTGATGGCGATGGGGAGAAGCTGTTTCAAGATCTGTACCCATTTGTGCAAGGAGAACATGTGTTGAATTCCCAAAGCAAAGAGAAATCCCAGTCGTTACCCAGGGTTCTTTCCCCTGAGAGCCTGAGTTGCATGGAAATTCCCATTCCATTCAATGATGGACATTTTCCAGGTGTTCCTAAAATGCCATTTTATCCCCCAAATTGTGCACCCAATTTGGATTCCAAAAGGAACCCTGAGAAGGGTGGCTCCTTGATCCCTTTCCCCCGGCCTAAATTCGGGAGACCCCTCAAGCCTGCATCTTACGACTCCCACCAACACCCCAGGGCAGGCGTGGAGAACAGCGACTCTCTGGACAGTCGGCAGGCGGACTTGTGTGTCTCCTACTTGACCAAATCCAGCGAGCCCAGGCTGGAGCTGTGCACGCCTGACTCCGGTTTGGAGCCTCCAGTGTATGTGCCTCCGCCATCATATAGGTCGCCGCCCCAGCACATCACAAACCCCTACCTGGAGGATGCAGTGCCCGGGCCTGTGTGTGGTGGTCCCCATCAACAGCAGCATCTGATGGAGCTGGCTGGCCCCCTGGACACTGGGAATGAGTATGGTGCAGGCCCACACTGCTCTCGCGGGGTCCCTCAGCAGCCCCGGCCGACCACCGCATATGACGGCTCTGTTCTGTATATTCCCTTTGACGACCCGCGGATCCGGCATTTTAAACTGGCCCACCCCCAGGGTCTCTGCCGAGAAACAATGGCCAACGAGAAGTCCTACAACTCTGGTCCCAGCACTGCCCCGGCATCCGCCCATGGAAACATTCAACAAGATGGCGCTGTTTTGAGCCCACAGAGTGTGAGAACCCTGCCAGGCGGTGTGAGCAGCTCTGCTACTGCCGATCCCAGTCCCTGGTGGCTGTGGGGACAGCTCCCCAGGGATGCAGAAAATGGCGTTCCTGACCAAGGAGCCCACAGTGCCATGGGGGGACAGTGGCCTGCCATGGGTGGCGGCCAGGGTGGACACGCAGAAGGCCTCGTCTCCTCCCCAAGCCCGCAGGGTGAGGGCACCTGTGAAACTCGAACCAAGCTCAAGAAGTTCGAAACTGGGATGCGGACCAAGAAAAGTTCAAAGAAGAAAAGGAACGAGACGATATTTTGTTTGGTTTCCATCCCAGTTAAATCAGAATCACATCTGCCAGATACAGATACGAACAACAATGACTTAAAACAGGGCACTGATAAAAAGAATGGGCTTGATAAGAGCACAGCTTTGCAAGAACAAAGTCTGCTGAGCATGTCTTCCACCGACCTGGAGCTGCAGGCGCTCACAGGAAGCATGGTTGGGAGAACAGAGTTCCAGAAACAAGATCTGGGGGAACCAGAAGAAGGCAAACAAACAAATGACCTCAGATTCATTCATCCTGCACAGCATCGAGAGCTCAAGTACTCTGGCTCGTGGCCAGGGCACCAGTACAGAGATCAGCAAACACAAACTGCTTTTGCAGAGGAATCCAGAAGCGCGCCACCCCTCCCTGGTGCGAAGCCGGGAGCCTCACCAAAAGCAGTGCTGACTCCAAAATATTCAGACCCTCTTGTCCCTGAGGCTCGCGTACCCATGGGGTTAGCTCCCAGTGACCAAAACCAGAGGCCAAATGCTCATCACCTCAAAGGTCAAATGTCCCTCAGCCCCTCCAGCAACAGTGCTTTCTCAAGGACTTCCTCCTGTGTAAACCAGGCACCTGTTTCAAAAGCAGGGCCCAGTCAGGCCTGCACGGACGGCCGTGGCCGCGGAGGCAGCCCCGTGCCCCGGGGCGATGTGGTGAAGGGGGAGACCACCGGCCCGTGCAACAGCAAACAGCTGTTTGGTCAGTTTCTTTTGAAGCCAGTGAGCCGCCGTCCCTGGGATTTGATTAGCCAGCTAGAGAGTTTTAACAAGGAGCTTCAGGAAGAGGAAGAAAGCAGTCATAGTGGCAGCGACAGCAGCAGCGAGGACAGTGACAGAGACTGGCAGCCTGAAGGCCGTGCTGAGGCCACGGGCAGGAACTGGGGCTTTGGTGGACACAGCCAGGCATGGAGGGTCGAGGAGCCCATGGCCAGGCCGGGAAGAGCCCAGAGTAAGTCTGAAAGCTGGAGCGAGGGGCCAAAGCCTGGCCAGCCTGGTGCACACACTCAGTGCCCGGGCCCTGCAGAGGTGGAAGGAGGCAGAGCGGGGCACAGAGGCCTGATGTCAGACAAGGGGAACCAGGAGGTTGAGCGCACAGTGAACAAGCCAGCAGTCAGCCCAGGTCTTGTGAAGAGAGTGACGGCCTCTAGGTCAGGTGCCGCAAAGCCAGTGCCCTCGTCCGATCTGGCCGCACTGAGGCAGCCCCCCGGCAGCCAGGAACTGCCCGCCGTTTCTGTTTCTGCCGAGCTGAGCCCAGCAACGCCTCGGAAGGCTGGCGGTGAGGAGGGGAGGAGCCCGCCGGTCCTGCTCTCGCTTGCCAGCAAGCCCCGAGGGCTGTCAGCACCGGACTTGAGGTCCGTGGGGCTGACGCCGGCACAGGAGCAGAGTGCCAGTGAGTTAGGTGCGTCTTCGGGTGAAGCGAGGGCAACAGAAATCCCGCCGAATGAGTCCCTTCAAGCAAGGGCTGCGAGGATCCTGGGCATTGAGGTGGCCATGGAGTCCCTGCTGCCAGGCGCCCGGAGGACGGGACAGGACCAGCACCCCGAGCCGGACAGAAGTGGCCGAGGGCCAGAGGCCCCCAGGGCAGAGCCTGTGTCCAGTTCACAGCCGGATGAGCCCGCGGCGCCCGCGGACGCCTTTTATGGCAGGAGAAAGTGCGGCTGGACCGAAAGCCCTCTCTTTGTAGGGGAAAGGGACAGTTCCCGTCGCGCTGCCCCAGCTGCTGAGCACTCAGGTGTGGACGGGACTGTCCCCTGCAAGGCCACCAGCCCCGAGCCTCAACACAGTCCCGAGGAGTCCAGGTCCTTCGATCCCAAGGACACGGGGACAAAACCACCCTTCAGGTCCACTCTCTTCCATTTTATAGAAAGGACCCCAAATACGTCAGGCTCAGAAAAGAGGCTCAGAAGCACTTCCAAAGTGATTGAAAGTTTACAAGAGAAGCTGGCTTCGCCCCCAAGGAGAGCAGACCCCGGCCGCTTGATGAGGATGAAGGAGGTGAGCTCTGTGTCCCGGATGAGGCTCCTGACCTCCCGGAGCGCTGACTCCATGGAGGAGGCTGAGGAACTGAAGGCCGAGAGGGGCTCTGGGGTGCAGCCTGGAGGCCTGGTGTCTCTGAATGCCGGGGAGCTGGTGCAGAAGGCTGGGCTTTCGCTCGTGGTCTCCAAGGACGCCCTCTCACCGGAAGAAGATGGGCATCCAACAGCGCACAGGGAGAAGACCGTCCATCCGGGCTTCTGGTGCCCAGGTGAGGAGCCAGGTGAGCAGGCGGGTGCCAAGTATTAGTGTGGCACTCTGAGAGCGTTAACACCGGGCTGGTGGATAACGATGGTCCTGCATTGGTAAAGCTGATACTGTGCATTGTTGCACCAAAAGATTCTCCCTTTTCCAGAGAATTATCAAATCTTTTTTTAAAAATCAAGATCCTGTAGTGTATCTTAAATGGTTACATCTTTACAGAAATTACTTACGCAAACGATAAGCTTATTACCATATAAACGTATTTTGGGCCCTTTACGGTGAAGATGTAAATCAGTGAAGTATTCAAGCTGCGGTGCCGCACTGTGATGGATCCTGTAGGAGGCAACAGTGCGTGTTCTCTGCATTCTCCCCTGAAACAAGTGCTCCCCCAGATCACCTGCATGCTCTTTACTGACCTAACCATGTGATTAACTAAAGTGACCAGCCCAGGACGCTGTGTCTTACGTTGCACTTTCCAAAATCCTTTGTCCCTCATTTTATGTTTTTGCTACCTCACTGTTTATGAAATTTTTAAAAGGTTTAGCAAACAAAAGGAGCAGTTTGCACTTTTTCAGCACCCTAACAAGTTCACCCACCAGGGGTGCCTAGGTGGCTCAGTTGGTTAAGCATCCTGCTTCAGCTCACATGATGATCTCACGGTTCATGGGTTTGAGCCCCACAGTTTGAGCTGTCAGCACAGAGACCACTTTGGATTCTCTGTCTCCCTCACTCTAACCCCTTTCACACTCTCTCTCAAATAAATATTAAAAAAAAAAAAGTTCACCCACCAGCTGCATCCCATAACGCCCCCTGTGGTCTGAGCAGTAATGCCTGGGACAGAGAGCAGGACAGAGAGCTTTGGCAGCAGAGCCCGGCACACCTCTGGGCCCTCTCTCTCTTCTGTCCCCTTCACAGCTTCAGAGCTGCTCTGGTTCAGACCACAAGTGGGTTCCCAGTGGTAGCAACATGGATTTTCCCCAAACACAGTCTCAGCCTCAGCTCTGACACAGGCATCTCTGTTTCTGGCATTTTCTTCAGGAACTGGGGAATTATCAATTATATATCCTAGAACTGATTCAAAGAAGAGTTGTACATGCCAGAAGCCCCACATGCAACCACAGACAGAAGGGACCATGAATCATTCAGACCTTTTCACCATGAGGCCAATGCGTTCCCTTGTGTGTAGGAAAGCAGGGACCCTGGCCCCTGGCCCACCTCTGGAGCCCCGCCCTCTAGGCTTACTTCACAGCCTCTTTCTCTTCTTTCTACTGTGAAATCCAAGGACTTAAAAGTTAATGGACCGGCGCCTGGGTGGCTCAGTTGGTTAAGTGTCTGACTTTGGCTCAGGTCATGATCTCATGGTTCATGGGTTCGAGCCCCGCGTCAGGCTCTGTGCTGACAGCCAGCTCAGAGCCGGGAGCGTGTTTCGGATTCTGTGTCTCCCTCTCTCTCTGACCCTCTCCTGCCCACGCTGTCTGTCTGTCGGTCTGTCGGTCTGTCTCTCTCTCTCTCTCTAAGAAATAAATTAAAAAAATAAAAGTCAATGGACAAGGTCACTTGTTTCAACTAGAAAATTCCAGAACTTTTGTTCCAAGAAATGTCTACTTGGCACTTTAAAATTTTTTCCACAAATGCAGTATGATTCTTAGGAGCTTTAGATGGTGTTGTTCGGTGCTTTTTACCAAATACATTATTGAAACAAGCCATGTGTCAGGGCCCTGTTGGATCATATGACTTGACAGAGTCGGTCTTTGCCGAGAAAGAACACTGGGATGTGGAAGTGTTGCCATAATGGTAGGAAAAGTGTTACGTGGCCCATTTTTTAAGCTGTTGGGATCTATTAGGCTCCTCCTCCTCTCTTAGGCCTGCCCCCTCCCCAAATATGCCCACTTGCTTTTAAGTAGGAGTTAAAATGAATTTCATCAGTCCTATCTTATCCTGAGAATTTTAAAATAAGACAAATCCAGGGCGCCTGGGTGGCTCATTTGGTTGAGTCTGACTCTTGATTTCAGCTCAGGTCATTTCATGGTTCATGAGATCGAGCCCCATATCAGGCTCTGCACTGACAGCCTGGAGCCTGCTTGGTATTCTCTCTTTCCCTGTCTCTCTCTGCTCCTTCTCTGCTCATATGTTCTTTCTCTCTTTCTCAAAATAAATAAATACTTTTAAAAAAATAAAATAAGGGGCGCCTGGGTAGCCTAGTCAGTTAAGCATCCGACTTCGGCTCAAGTCATGATCTCACAGTTTGTGGGTTCGAGCCCCACATCGGGCTCTGTGCTGACAGCTAGCTCAGAGTCTGGAGCCTGTCTTTGGATTCTGTGACTCCCTCTCTCTCTGACCCTCCCTTGCTCACTGTCTCCCTCTCTCTCAAAAATTAATTAATTAATTAAAAAATAAAATAAGACAAATCCTGCTACAATAAAACACCAGTGTGTAAAGATTTCTATGCCTCTATATTTTGAGGAGTATTTTGTAACACAGAAGTTTTCGTTCAGTCAAGCACCCCCTCAATTTTTAGCATGATCCCTTGGCATGTGAATGGGGTTGGACAGGTATCTGAAAACATGTAGATCATGCCAATTTTAATGTTAGCTAGCCACTTAAAACATCTTTTCCCTGACCTTATTTTTTTTAACCACCATAGTTACTAACAAGTAGCATTTTTTTTCTCCTCTCCTTCTGATACATTTGTTAATAAATAATAAAATGACCCAAAATCCAAAGGCAGAGAGATACTCATGATGCCACACAGCTACCTGGGCACTTTTAAGCAGTTGCATAGCAGGATACTCCGAGGGACGATTTCATAGACACACAGGGGCTCAGGTGAACTTCTGTCAGCCCTTCATGTGATGGTCACCAGGCCTACTCAGAATCAACCGTTTTGAGAGGAATGTGGGTCATATGATTGAGGTGGCCAAACTTTGATACATGGTAACTTTTCTACTTGTTATTTTACAAGTTAGAGTAAAGCCTTACTGCTTTTTCCCAGATGAATTTCTGGACTTCATTTTCCTTTTGATATATTTTATCATTTTACACACAAGAACCATCATCTCCCTGGCCAACAGACACATGAAACGATGCTCAGCATCCCTCCTCATCAGGGAAATACAAATCAAAACCACACTGAGATACCACCTCACGCCAGTCAGAGTGGCTAAAATGAGCAAATCAGAGAACTCTAGATGCTGGCGAGGATGTGGAGAAACGGGCACCCTCCTACACTGTTGGTGGGAATGTAAACTGGTACAGCCCCTCTGGAAAACAGTGTGGAGGTTCCTCAGGAAACTAACAATAGAACTCCCTTATGACCCAGCAATAGCACTGCTAGGAATTTACCCAAGGGATACAGAAATGCTGAGGCATAGGAGCACATGTACCCCAATGTTCATAGCAGCACTCTCCACAATAGCTAAAACATGGAAAGAGCCTAAGTGTCCATCAACAGATGAATGGATCAAGAAGATGTGGTTTATCTATACCATGGAATACTACATGGCAATGAGAAACAATGAAATCTGGCCATGTGTAGCAACATGGATGGACCTTGAGGGTGTTATGCTGAGCGAAATAAGTCAGGCAGAGAAGGACAAATATCATATGTTTGCACGTATAGGAGGATTAGGAGGAACTTGACGGAGGAACAAGCGGGAGAAGAAGGGCGGAAATGGTGGGGGAAAGGGAGAGAGGCAAACCATGAGAGACTCTTGAATGCTGACAAAAACTGAGGACTGATGGATGTGGGGGGGAGGGGGGGATGGGCATGGAGGAGGGCACTTTGGGGATGAGCACTGAGTGTTATGTAGAAACTAATTTGACAATAAACTATTTGTAAAAAAATAAATAAATAAATAAATAAATAAATTGATCTGTAGCAACCTATAAAAAAAAAAAAAAAAAAAGAACCATCATCTCCCCACCCCCACTTCTGCCCTTCTCCCGTCAGCCCAGTGTGCAGGAACCACTTCACTCCCCCCGAATTCCCAGCCCGCTTAGATTCAGATTTTGTTCTGGAATTTTAAAATAAGATTACACCATGGGTATCTGTAACCTCCCCTCACAGCTCTGCCAGCATACACACATGCACATGCCCTTCTCGAACTTCATTATCTGTGTTGCTGTGTAGCACCTGTTGTATCATCAAGTATCTTCCCTGCAGCTGAAAGACAGCCCTTTCACCTCACATCATTTAGTGGCCTTTGGGGCTCTGGCCAGGAAGTCAGCACCTCAAAACTAACTCGGGGGACAGAGTTCCATCTCTGCTGAATAGATCGTGTGCCAATTCCAATCCCAGGCGCTGGTAGTGCTGAGAACCTGCTGGCTCCATCGGCCTCCATCCATATGAGCGTGGGAGGGAACAAGATGAGAGCAGCCTTGGAGGGTGTGAAGGTGCAGTCTGTAGGCAGGCTGGATCTCAGCACAACCTCAAGGGCAGTAGCCCTCGAGGGTGTGAATGCACAAAATACCCACAAAGGATGGGCCTTAGTGAGTTGAAATCTTGCCCTCCAGAGCCAGGATTCTAACTACTCAGAGTACCCTCCCTGTCTTCTAGGCCTGTGCTGGCTGGGACAGCAGCTCCTTGTTACATGTGGGTCCTTGAGCATTTGAAATGTGGGTCATCCAAACTGAGAAGTGCTGTCTGTATAAAATACATACCAGAGTTCAAAGATAGTATATAAAAGAGTTTTAAATTTCTCAATAATTTGTATGTTGATTACCTGTTGAAATGATAGTATTTTTGATATATTTGGTGAAATGATGTATTATTAAAATTAATTTCACCTGTTTCATTTGCTTTAACACAGCTTCTAGAAAATTATAAGTAGTGTTATGTGGCTCACATTGTATTTTTCTTGGACCTACATGTTCCATGATCTGAAGAAGGAGGCCATTGTTCTACAGAGTTCTATCCCTAGGCCCCTGGCTCTGGGCCTTTAGCTTCAACAGTGGGGCTCGGGGGCACAGGCATGGTCTGTGGAGGTGTCTCCCGGTACCTGGCCCAAGGTGAGCCAATCAGTGCCCACTGTCTGTGTAACTCAAGGCTCAGTGGATGCTCAACCTCCTTCTGGCCTGTCACCTGCTGAAAGTGTGCCCTTCCCGCCATGTCATCCGTTAGTGACTGCCCCCCTCATTCTCAGTGGAGAAGAAGACATTTTTGCTCAGCGAGGCTCCCCACTCAGAATAGCACACAATGAAGCTGATTGGGCACAAAAATGTAGCGCTCAGCTGTTCACATCCTGTGTCATCACGTTAGGCGTCGTCAAGTGTAAAATATGAGAAGGCAGCCGACCCACCTGAACTCCACCTGCTTTCAGCCAGGTGGTGCGGTAAATCATGTCTGAGGAGCCAGCAGCCTGCTTTTCCTAAACACAGGCGCTGTGTCCTATCCGGTTTACAGTGTCGGGCACAAAGCATCGTAGACACGGTCTTAGCTGTCACGGTTGTAGTGTGTGTGGTAAACATATGGTGGCAATGCCGAGAAGGTGTGAGGAGACGTGGCAGCACATTCTGCTGCTAGGAAAATTAGGGTGTGTGTGGCCTCTGACGTACAGTGTCCAGACGGGTTTGAGAAGAGATTGTTCTGCTGCAGCAATCCTTCTAGATTTCTTAAGTGTTCTCTTAAAAAGTCAGGATACCTTTGAGCTTCTGTGGCAGGAAATTCTGACTATAGGAGGCACACGTGTGGTTTTGGGGCTTACGTGGGTCCCAGAGATCTGTGAATCCCAAGGCGGTCAGATTAAAATCACTAACGGCAGCTTCAGACCGTTGTTCTTTTATGGTGTCCCATTTTGGAAACCCAGCTCACTTGGGCCCAGGTTGGGATTTTCCAGTTGTGGGCTGTGGAACGGGACTGTGTGGTGGCCCAGGCTCACACACCCCTGTGCATGGGAAAGGCCTAGAAGAGTGTACCAGCAGGCATGCGTCCGGGCCTTGGCCTGTCTGTTGGCTGATGGTGGCTGGAGACAGGAGGCCTCTCATTGCTGGCCAAGCCGTCAGGATTTCAAGGCCCTCAATCTATCACAAAGATACATTTTTTAAAAGCAAGATTTCATTGGAGTTGTAATTTACAAAAAAAAAAATCCTTGGATATCACTGGAGTTGTAATTTACAAAGACAAACAAACAAAAAACCAGCATGCCATTGCTGGTTTCCATGTTGTGTTTAAAGTTAATGTTGTTCCTCTATGGACAACAACAGGAAAGGATTATCAGAAATTAAGCAGCTGACATTTTTCCACCTATGATTAGGTGCAGTGATCATACATGTCCTTTTAAAATAGACTTTTTAAGAATTTTTTAACTTTTTCATTTTAGAGAAAGTGCACTAGCTGGGGAAAGGGGCAGAGAGAGAGAGAGAGAGAGAGATAATGAGATTGAGAATCCCAGGCAGGCTCCACACTCAGCATGGAGCCCAGCCCTGGGAACATGACCTCAGCTGAAATCAAGAGTCTGATGCTCAACAGTGAGCCACCCAGGTGCCCCAAAACAACCTTTTGATGATAGTTTTTTACTTCTCAGTGAAAATAATATTGTTTAAATGTTTAAGCATTAGCTCTACACTTGTGGAGTTTGCTCCCTTAACATACTTATTTATGGTCTGAGAATTAAACCAAAAACACGAATTGAATATACTACTTATTTTTTCTTTTCTTTTCTTTTTTTTTTCTTTTTTTTTTTTTTTTCTTTTTTACAGATTCCTATGACCCTAGCAGAGTGGAGAGGGTGTGAGGAGATGCCGGTTTAGCATGGGATCACCAGAGTTTACTAACTGAGTGTTCTCTCATTTAGCCTGTCAGCTCGACTTGCACATGTGCAAGCCGGAGACTGCTGGCTCTTCGTGTACTGTGACATCCTTTACCACTGCCACCGAGAACCTCATCGTTCCTACAGAATCACTTTGTGGAAATAAAGCATTAGTCCATTGAAACCATCTGTTTTTATAATATGAAGAGTGAATGCCTAAATTTAGAAAAGAGTCACATAAAGTCTCTTTCGTGATGGATGTAGCCAAGCTGGTAAATAGTTTGGTGTTAATCTGGTTCGATGTGAAAATTCAAACATGAATGATTTTAAAAGGACTGTGAATTTCACAAATTCCCCTTTGCATGTCCATGGCCTGTAGTCTGTGCTTGTGTTAAGGAGTTTGGGACGTGGGCCAGTTGCCCAGCGTACTGGCACTTTGAGTTGAGGGGAAACGTGATGAATATATATGACCTGTTTCTAATCAGTTTGGCCTTCTGCTGCTGCAAGTCACTCTATTTATAAGTAACTTGCCATCAGAGGGTAAGAGCAATAGCTTTTAAGTTCCTAAAAGATTAAAACTTGTACCATAATGTACTCAAGAGTATTATTTATCTGGCAATGAAATACTTGGATCATTCGCAAACATGCCACTGTCTGCTTTGCACTCTGCACTATTTTTATGTTCTGTATGGATGTTTAGAAATCCTTTATATGAAAAATAACTGCTGGTTTGAAATAGACCATTTTAACAAAGTAACTATATTTCTTTTTACAAAAATGCTATTTTTCTATGATGTAAACAGTCGTGAGGTGGCAGATTTTTAAGGAAGTATTATTTTATTTAAGAGTCTGTATCCCTTTGTGTGAGAGGAGCCGCAGAAGGGGCTCATGTTTTGCTTTAAAGCACACGTCCTTTCCCCATCCCCACCTCAGCCACTTTTCTTTTATCTTAGAGATGTCAGTATAGACATTTTACAGGGTTAAGAAACTTTTCACAAAGATACTTTTGCAAATGTAGCTGTAAGGGTATATTTGAGTATAACCTTCTTAAAACCAGCCAACATCCTTACAACTATTTTTGCTGCCATATCCTCTAGGATTACCAAAAACCATAGTTTCCTCTTGATATGTCTGTGGGGATCTACTCCAGGACCACACTTTCCTCACCCCTCCGCCTGTCCCTCTATGAAATATGTATTTTTATCTGGAATGATCCTTAATTATTAGTCTTGGCATATTTTTTTAGGAATACTAGAGACATTACATATACACCAGTACAGAAATATTATGAGGCCTATGCAGTCCACTGTGTTTACTATCGCAGTGGCACGCACAAAGTTCATGTGTCTTCATGCACCTGCCCCTCCTTTCTAAGTAAGGTGTTCACGTTAGCAAACGCTTCCTGAATGGGTTCTTGTTGCCTTCTTCCTTCCCTTCCTTCCCTCTCTCTCCTTTTTTTTTTTGGGGGGGGGGACCACCTTATCTCTTTTTAGACATTTCAAATTCCTAAAATGTGAACTGTTGGGTGGTCTGCCATTGGCCCGAAAACACCTCTGACTGGGCTTTCCTGGCCCGTTTTTATCTGTACCATTTGATCTTATTTCATAAGAACTTCATGCATTTGGACTGTAATAAACAATACAGAATCCAAGTTGTCCTGCACAGTCGTTTCAAATACACTTCTCTGTAGTCTGGGTCTTTACCCATTACCCGGAGGCTTCTACTACTTCCTTCCAGATTTTGGCTCTTGTGAAAAGTTGTCATGAGCTCTTGCTTTCCCCACGAAGGAGATGGGCCAAGGCTCTGTATTAGGAGTGGCTGAAACTTCTTCCTGGGAAAAGGTTTGATGGGGGAGAGGTCAGTTAGTCTGTTACAGTTGGTGAACCACTCGAGTAACCTGAGAACTAATTGAGGGGGCCACATGGAGGTCTCTGTGGGGTGTTCTTCCCCTTACACTGCAGATGGAGGAAGGTATACGTGTATATATACATACGCATATAGGCACATACATATATCCATATATATTCACTCTGCTCTGACTTCCTCTTAAGTTTGCCGATCCCATCTAAAAACTTCTTTTAATCAAAATAATTGAATTTTAGCTTATTCCTCAAGAGAAAGAAAAGGATACTGAAGAGAAAAATGATGGTAACCCAGGTATATCACAAAGCAAGAACTTTTCCAGTTTTTATTTGAAATTGTATCATCTTTCTGAAACCATTCTGAATATAATTGAAATTATCAATATTTATACTTTGAACCTTAATTTCTGGATTCCAGCCTGTATATAAATCTTTGGTGTGTGGCGAGGAGGATAACTTTGACAATTTGACTTTTAAGCTTGCCTGTTCTGAGGTAAAGGATTATCTAATCCAAAATAGCTTTCCCAGAAATTTTGAACTTAATGCTGATCATCATTCTGTTATTATTACTGTTCCTCATACGTATATAACTCTCCATTATTATTGTGGCTGGAAAAAACAAGTGTTTCTATTTTGTGTTTGTCATTGTTTTTCTCACACATATATGCTAACTGGCGGTGTTTCGTAGTTTGGGGCTTAGAAAATTAAAAGTTCTAATTTTGACCATTTGGACTAAACATTACATGAAGCACTGCATATGAAATATATTTGTGTGTGTGTGTGTGTGTGTGGTTTTTTGGTTTTTGGTTTTTGGTTTTTTTTTTTTTTGATGTGCAGAAGAAAGGAAAGAATGTTGGTAATACAGCTCAAGTTCAACTGTCTTTGAAGACAACTTCTAAATTATCAAAAACCAAATACCTTCCTTATCCTTTTCAACCTTACGTTCCTGCAGACCGCAGAAAACTCCCTGCTCAAGGGACACAGCCCCTGAGTGCGTCCTCAGAATTCTTTTTCATGCCGCTTGTAACACAGAATTCTTTAGAAGTCCCTTAAAACCTATCTAGTCTCTGAGATGCTGGTTTCCTGCCTGAAGTCGTAGGTTAAGGTTTGGCTCCATGTGCAAATTCTAAGTAGAACTTTTTCCATTCTGTGGCACTGTTGGTGAAGCATTGTTAACAGGAGTTCAGATGTGTAGATGCGGATGGCTCCGGAACCAGACCTTGACCGCCTCTTGCAGCTGCGGAATGACTTCCTCTGATGGCAGCTCGGCCCCGGGCTCCCGAGAAAAAACAGCCACGCTGATCTGCTGTGGACACAACTGCTTCCCAGCTCTAAGCAGAAACGACTGATGGAAAATCTGATTCAGCCACCATTTCAGCCCCCCTTCCGCCCCCCTCCCCGCCCCAGAGATTGTGTTTGTATGTTTTGGCTATTTTGCTTTGTTTTGTTTAAAATGATTAAGTAGTACACAGTGAAGTGTCAGGTTAGCAGCTCTTGGAAAGTGACCAGCACAGCAGAACTCCCACCATCTACATATCCGAGCTTTAGAGAAACACTCCCAGCTTCCCAAGTTCTTGAGAGCAGTGACTTTGTTGTCTGGACCATTTTCTCCCAGCTCCATCTGTGCTTAGGGGCCGGAACGAAGGGTGGGAGAGCGTCTCAGGCAGGGCTTGCAGGCCTGGGGGATTTTTGCATTTTCTTTTGCTTTTGTTTTTAGCTGCAGATTCTGTACATCTGTTTGTAGGAGGAGAGCTGCTACTCAGGACAGGATTTAAGAGACAGATTCCAAGTGACCTTTAAGAGTCTGCGTGGTGGGAGGCCCTTTTCCAGGAGTGTGGGTTGGTCCACTCTGGGACCCACCAAGAGAAGAAGGAGGGAGATGACGAAAAATAACATTAAAAAACGGCCGCCCAGCCTGCATGCTTTGTTTAAAAAGAAAAAGGGGGGGGGGTGGTTTAAGACTACAATTCAGATTGAGGCCTCTTAGAAAGGTCGATATGGTCTAGCAAGCTGCCCATTGAAACAGTCCTTGGGCTCATCAGCCGTGTGGAGAGGCGGGCAGAGTGCCTGCAGATTCCTGGCTTTGACTTTGGAGAGCCCCTGTCACAGTTGTGTTTATTACAGAAGACAGGGAGGTCCTTGTTCTGTGGCCTCTGCTCAGCGACTGAAACTTGAACCCGAAGGCAAGTCCAGATCGTCCAGCTTTCCATCCCATTGCCGTGAAAGGGGTGAGGAGGAAGTGCTCCTCATAGGATCGCCCATCCCCTTTCCCACACAGAAGCCAGGCCTGCTGGGGCCTGCGGCTAAGCTGAAGGAGCAAGACCTCGCTTTCCTACACCTCTTACCCCACCCTGTTAGCAGGGCCAATATGTGTGACACTCGCTGTCACGGAGCAAGAGAGACAAAAGCAAGTTCAAGTTGAGAAGCATATGGCAGAAATTAGAAATGGAAACCATATGTCGCAGCCAGGGAGAAAAGCAGTAACCTACAGATTATAAAAATCAGTGAATTACTCTCCACTTGGTTCAGCTGAAATTTGAGCCCTCACACTCAGACCTGTCAGGAAAGCAAAGCAGAAGCATCTCAAAAAAAAAAAACTTCCAAAATTTGGTGAAAACAAGGCTCTGTAACCCCCCCAGAAACTTAGTATCTGCTCATCAATTCTTTGGGCACCATTAATATCGTAAGGCAGTTAGAGAGGGTTCTGGGAAAAGACACAACTGGTAATGGCCAATCACCCGTTGCTGGTCATCGTACCCAGATCCAGCAGCACCAGAGGCCTTAAGGTGATGAAGGGTGGAGGTGGGTGATGAGTAACACCAGCAGAGCACAGACGAATGTCTTCCAGGAGCTCCTGTATCTCTGCACAATGTAAAGACTTGCTCTTTCAGGATGGCTGGCCTGCGCAGTAGTACACGTATTCCAAATAAACATTTTGCATGAACGGACCTCTGTCCATTGTCTTTGGCTATGGATGCAAGGCTGCCCTGGAAGTCTTGAAGGCTGGTCCATGGACAGCAGCAGGCTGAACAGGGTGCAGCTCGAATGGTGTCATGATACAGGGATGGGTGGCCCGAGAAGCTCCCGCACCTTTTGGTATCCACCGAGTATCTCCTGGGTGTTCAAGGATCTCTGATATCTCCTGCAAGGACTCGCTCACATGGTGGAAAGAGACCTATGGTCAATTTGGGGACTAGGTTTGAATTTTGGCTCCATTATGAGCCACGTGGTCTTGCCCGTGTTCCTTCCCAGCTTCTGTTGCCCCACCTGCCCCTCTTATTCCTTGACTTTAAGAACCAAACATACAGAAAAGTCCGCACAGGGGGTGTTCAATGAATGGAAAGCGGATGTTGACCTGGACCCTCTGAGGGATGGGGAAAATGCTGTCTGGGAACTTGCAAGTTTTAAAATCCAGGCCTTAGTCCCCAGATGGGGATTCACTCCTTGTTTCTAGAATCGCAATTCTGAAGCAGATGCAAAGTCCCAAATTGATGCTCTGAATCTATGACTCGTAGCCCAGCTGTTGTTTCTGAGTTTAAAAAGAAATGATTTGGTCCTTCTTTCCAACTTGAGCTCCTTCTTTTCCCCCTTCATGTCCGTAGACTTGTCCTTATTCCTTCTGTGGCTCCACCTGTGTGGGGCTCCACGCTCCAGGGTTCCAGGCCCCTCTCACTAGTCCAAAATATCATGTTCAAATGCGGGTATTAAAGTAACAGCTATTCCTGGTTGGTTGATAATTGAATCCACATAAAAAAATAAAACTGAAAAGAAGTCCCTTGTCCAAATTAATGCTGTACGATGAAATACACAACCTAGGAATCGGGGGACCCATCCCGGGCCTGGCTCTGCATTAACTAGCTGCGGCTCTGGCCACCTCCCCTGCTTTGGAACACTTCACAAGGGGAGAAAGTGGGATTGGACTAAATGAACTGGTTTCGTCCAACTCTAAGATTATATAGTTAATTTTTGGCAAAATTGGAAGTCCACAGGGTCTTCGCCCTGCCAGAAGGGTCCAAGAGTAAAATCATTTGAAAACTATGGCTGTACATGGCTGAGGACAGGGTCATCACTGGGGTAGGGAGATCTGCCATTATTTCTTTCACTAGGGTGGTCCATTTTCCCATTCCAATAGCTTATCATACTTCTCTCTACCTTGCCGTACTTTGGAACCAGCCAAGAGACTGACGATATTGAATTCTCTGAAACGTATTTTTCTTATGTTAGAGCAGGGCACTGGGTGTTTATGAGCCTGGCTGGCAGCCCAAGACATTAATCTACAGTGTCTGTATAGAGTGCTTTTTTCTCACAATCTGCCTGCTTGGGGTCCTTTTAAATGTACTTAGGTTTGGAGATGTTTGTGTCTCCCCAGCGAAGTTGGCCTTTCTGCTTCTGCCCCACACGTAAATCTTTCCCCAGGTTGTGTTTTGCAGGCTGGAAATGCTGTGAGTCATCCCAGGGCTCAGCATTTTGGGGACAATGGCTCCACGGAGGGCATGGGGGACATCAGCGCTCCCAGGTCCAGTGGGCCTCTGGTTTGCTTTCACCTGGAATGGAGCGTCTAGTTCTTCTTTGAACAAGAGGAGGTTTGTGCCAGATCATGCGGAGAGTCCATTTGCTTCTTCTCCGGCTCCTGTGCCCTGTGTTCCTGCATTAACCATGGCTGTTTTTCCCTAGCCTAATCCTACTGATGTTTCCTCAGTTTTGTTTTTTTTTTTTAATGTTTTATTTATTTCTGAGAGAGAGAGAGAGAGTGTGTGTGAACAGGGGAGGGTCAGATAGAGAGGGAGACACAGAATCTGAAACAGGCTCCAGTCTCTGAGCTGTCAGCACAGAGCCCGATGCGGGGCTCGAACCCACGAACCGCGAGATCATGACCTGAGCCGAAGTCGGACGCCCAACCGACTGAGCCACCCAGGCGCCCTGAGTTTCTTCAGTTTTAATGGCAGAGTCAGATTCTTGAGAAATAAATGCAATGTACATTCACCTAGAGCTTCTCTTGAGTACTTAAAATGTTCAACATAGGGATGAAGGGAAGACAAGGAGAGTAACATTATTGCATCAATTTAATGCATATCACTTTACAAAAGACAAGGGGTACAGAGAAGAGGAGACAAAGAGTTGTAGCATGCAGCTAGTAGTAGAGGAGAGATCCAAACCTATCTCTGTACCCTGAAGTCCATGCTGTTCATCTTGGCTTGCTGCACCCCAGGGGGATAAGATAAGATCCTCCAGGTAGGAAATTCAAAGGTACCAGCTTATAATACTAAATGCATTTATTAGGATCGGATTCAGCCGCTCACATCACAGAATTCGAAACAACAGGGGCTTAAATGAGATAGAAGCTTATTTCTCTCATGTTTCAAAGGAGTCCAGAGGCAGGTGGTCCAGAACTAGCGTGTCAGCACCATGGCAACTGGGGAACCAGGCTCCTGTCCCTTTCTGCTCCAGCATCTTCACATGGTGGCTTCCATCCTCAGGGTAACTTTATGGTCCATGATGGCTACTAGGGTGCCCGCCATCTTGAACGCCTTCCAGGTAGATGACAGGGGAAAGAATTCTCTTCCAAATGAGTTACCTTCCTTTAAAGAGACTTCCAGGGCATTTTACACCCTTCTGCTTCTATTCCATTCAGTCGTGTGGCTGGAATTCAGTCACATGGTCAAACCAGTTGCAAGGGAGGCTGGGAAATGTGGTTCTTTTTACCTGGGCACTATCAAAGGTCTACATAAAATCAAAGTTCTACTAGTAATAAAGAGAGGAATCATAG